CCCTTCTCGCCGTAGCCACCCAGGCCATCCCAGCGTAGCTGTAGCCGATAACAGCCATTTTTGTACCTCCATCCTGTGTAGTAGCTGAGTTACATTTTGCACTGTAAATTCCTGTTAAGTGGATTTTGTTTTGCCGTGGTCGTCGACGCAGAGTCTCTTTGGGGAGGGGTGGTGGGAGGGGGGGAAGGGGGACAGACGCCCTCAAATTGCGGCCAGAACCACAATCGCAGGACGGGGTGAGGTTGTAAGCGACCACACCGGGGTCCTTCTGGTCCCACCTCCCTGCCCCAAACCTTCTAAAAAAACGCACTAAACCGGGGAGAGGACACCCAGCGATTGGCCCCGATTCCCTGAAAATCAGGCTGGATAAAGAGTTGGGGGAGCGGGATCTGTGGTTGGGCGGGGGGTGCAGCATCCCTGTCCCCGTGGTGGCACCGCTGTCCCCGCGGGCATCGCCCCCCCGCCCCGTCCGTCCGTCCGTCCATCCATCCATCCAGCCACAAGTGTCCCATCCCGCCAGCACACCCCCCCCGCCCCAAAACCGGCCAGCACCTCACCCCTCCAAAAAAAAAACCCCACAAAACCCCAACAAAACTGGGTTTGCGAAAAAGAGAGACGACTGGCAAAATGGTTTTCCATTAAACAGGGATAACATTTTTTTCTGCTGTGCTAAATTACTTCCTGTTCTTATTTTGTGGGTAATTTTTTCTGTACCGAATATCCTTTGGTTGTGTATCTCCACCTTTTTTCTTGTACTAAAACTAAAGCATGGTCTGTATTTTTTTACATTACCTAGTTTCTGATGTAAATCTCTCTGTAGAGACATACCCTGCTGAAATGTAATGTGCTGTAGCCTATACATCTGCTCAGTGTACGCTGCTTTTGTTCTGTTGCCCTTCCATAGCATGGTGGGCCTTGCCTTTTTGTATTGTGTGCATGATGACATTGTTACACACGATTCCACTAATACTAATATACGATCTCTCAATAAAGAAACTAGTTTTCCTATATTAACCTAGTGTGCTTTTTCTATTGCTGTTTTCCCATTTATTGTCGTATCCTGCTGTTTAGATTTTTTTCCTCGCTTTTACCCCCCCCACCATCGTGAGGTTTGAGTGAGTGGATTTTTTTCCTCCCTCGTAGTGCAGATGTGGGGGGCTTTTAAATACATTTTCCCCCCCCTTCCTATCCCATATCTACCCTCAGCATTAGTCTGTGTACATAATCCCCAGCGCACAGTCCATATTGCTGTTGTGCCGATGCAGAATTCTGTTTTTTACCGCAGAATAGCCAAAAAAAAAAAAAA